CTCCCCACCCCCCTCCTCCCAAAAAATTGTAGTTTTTACTTTTTAAATGTTTAGTTATGTTCTTGTACTCATACTTTATAAACTGGCTATTTGCTTGAATTTTGGTGTAGGTCATGAAAGCAAAATTAAAATACCATATATCATTTAAATGATAATATGTAAATTGCTGAAATCTCCCCTGTTCTTTTTTATATGTACAGTTCAGTACCTACTTTATGCTAATAGCACTTTTTGACATTGTTACATTTACACCCTCTTTATTGATTCAACATCAAAATGTTGACCGGAATTGTTGATGTCATTGTCTCAACATTTTTAAATGTCAAGATTGTCTTTAGATTAAAACATGTGGTTTTCAAAAATATATATCAACCAAAAAAATAGAGTTGAGTACATGCATGCATACATACAGGCAAAACTTATAGAAAAACAAACAAATTTATTAAAAAATTAAATATATATGTTTTAATAAAACATAGAAAATGTAAAAAATACATAAAATTCAACCCAAAAATATATATAATTCAACAAAATATACACAAATTGTAAAAAAAACAAATTTTAAGAATTTTATGGTCAATGTAATAGGGAAGGGCAAATTTAGAAGCTAATTTACCATTAAAATGAAGAGTTGGGTATTTTGGTAATATTACCCACTTTTGTCGACTCAAGATAATGGAAATGGTGTAGATGCAACAATGTTGGATAGTGTAGGGGAGGGCAGTGCTATTAGTATAAAGTAGGGTAATGAACCAGAATTGTCAGAAGTAAAAGAGAGGTTTTAGCAATTTACCTTGTTTTGGGGATTTTGAAAGGAGAGGGATGGGATTACCCATATTCTTATTTCAGATGTCCAAATTGATTTTCCCCAACTGTCACTTACCTGAGTTTGGATAAGTTGAGTTTCCCAAATAGAGGGTAAATGAAAAAAAAATTAAAATGGTCAAAAATACTCCCACAAAATACATTTACGCGAAAAAATGAATAAGGGTGAATGCACTTATAAAAAACAAACACGGCCTTGAAGTTTTCTAATAATTGTCAACTCTGATGATGTTTGCCATCTACACCTTTCTGTTAGAATCCATTATCAAGGTGAAAAATCACTAAAATACCCATTCATTAATATTTAATCTTTTTCCTTTCCCAAAATTGTATATTTCTCTAAATCCACCCTTAATCCACGTATAACCTTCATTTTCTCTCACTAAAGCCTGAACTCTGACATGTCAATGTATTTGAAGTTGTTAAATAAAAACAAGGCTGAAATTGCATCTCCTTGCTATGGTAGATTCATCTCTTTAATCCGGCTTAAAGTTTGAATTCTGTTAATCATAATCCGATGCTAATGCATTAAATTGTACAAAGTTTGCCCAGAAGAACTAATAATGAAATAAAAAATGTTAGAACTCCTATTTAAAGAAGAAAGTTACGAAGGTTAAGCTTTGGAAGCACACCAATGCACAGCTCCTCAATTCAACTCCAAAAATCAGAGAATCTACAATGATAGGAAAACAAATTCCTTTGCACTTCCTTATGCAAGTCAAAAAGAATAACCAACAAGTAGCAAGTAACAAATAATAAAAGCAATTTAACAAACACAATGCAAGCAACAATAGAGATACCAAGATTTACATGAATGAAAAACCCCTCATTATGAGGGTAAAAACCATAGGACTAAACTCCAAATCTTCCACTATCGCCAAAATAGTAGGATGCAACAATTTTCTATCTAGTTGTAATCTAGTTACAACTAGATGATAGCATCAAGAGAAAAACTTTTGGCTTCCAACAAAAACAAGCATCACCAACATAATTGGAATGAACAAATAAAAAAGTTCTCATCAAGATGGAATGCAAAAATAAAGCTAAGAGATGTTGTAGGATTTATTCTTTTTCTTCTACAACCCTTTCATGTTTTCTTGTTCCTTTCTCAAAGCCTTCTCCACCAAAACCCTTATTTATTCTCTAATAACCCTAGAGAGCAAGAAAAAAATGAGAAAGGAGAGCTAAAATCAATTCGTTGCTAGTTTAAGAATGTAATACAAAAGCCTTCTTGGTTTTTCCTCTTGTCTTTTTGTACTTTTCTTTTTTTTGTCTTTATTAGTGTGTGTCCCGTCTCACGAGGAGGATAGGCTCAACAAATCTCCCCCTCTGACTCATGAGGTGGATTTCTTTAAACTCAAACCCACCAAGCTCTTGCAAAAATCAAATTTGTTCTTACGTAGTCATAATATTTGAACTATTATTTTCGGTGTAAATCTTTTCTAATTGTAATTGCTTCTCCTCAAGAACATTTATAATCCAATGATACCTGACATCAATGTATTTGGACTTGAAATGAAAAGTTGGATTCATAGCTAGTTGATAACACACTAATTGTCACAAAGAATAATATTTTCCTTTACACCCAACTCTTCAAAGAATATTTTCATCCACAAAATTTCTTTGCAAGCTTCATTTGCAAGAATATATTCAACTTATGTAGTGGATAAAGCAATGCATTTCTATAGTTTGGATTACCATGACATTGCTCCCCCTACAAAAGTGAAAATTAATGTCTCCGGTGCATCTGTGTTGCATCTAATACTTTTATCACTACAAAAACATAAACACAATACAAAAGTAACTCTAAAATACTTGAAAATCCATTTAATTGTTTTCCAATGCTCTTTGTTTGGATTGACAAGAAACATGCTAACAACACCAACTACATATACAATGCCAAGCCTAGTAAAAACCATAGCATACATTATACTTACATTCAAGCGCAATCATTGAAAACCCATATGATAACTGATTGGAGGAAACAAAATGTAAAACAAAGCAATACAAAACACACATCTCCATACTAAGGCTCTGAAGAAGGGTCCATCCAGTTCAGATTATTTGATTTGATAGAACCCTCATTGTTCAAGTATTCCTTTATAACCATCCTTGAGTACCTCCTTTTAGTGGAGTTTGGGAGTGCTTATTTGAGAAATAAGTGCACTTATTTGTTTTTGGCATTCAATTTTTTCAAGTGCTTAAAAATAAGTATTTATTTCATATTGGGTGTTTGGTGAGCTTTTTATCCAATAAATGTTTATTAATTTAAAATGACAAATTTGACCCTCATTTAAAAGCACCACATTTAAAGCATATTATAACAATTTAAATGGATTTTTGAACACCAAATCAAGTGCACTAGGTGTTAATTCATTGAAAATAATAAATTTTCAATTAAATGCCCTAATACACAAGGAAAAAAAAATAATAGGTCGACAAAAACAAAGAGGAGACGAGAAAACTAAAAAAACGGGGAAGGATGAAGACAAAGAACTTGACATGAGCTTCTAATTCGATTTGGAGTGGAAGATATTGCCACTGCAGCCTAAAGAATGTGAGGTGAGAACAAGCATAGTGGAATGAAAGAAAATCCTATCTTTTTTGAACAAGGGTATTCTTGGGGTACTTTAAATAATACATAGGAATTTTTTTGGAACTAAATCTTAGAATAAGCCCTTATTCAATAAGCATTTAATAATAAGTTCAAATTTTGGGTTTTATTCATGCTTATTTGTCAAATGAAAGTATCCCGACCCAAAATAAGTACTTATTCCAATAAATACTTAAAAAAAGCTCAATTTTAAGTCACTCCCGAACTTGGCGTTGACATCATTAGAATCCTCTTATCCTCTATTCAACTGGTGATTCGGTCCGGCGCTCAAGCAAGGGTAGAGAGGAAGCTTTTTTAAGAGTATTTTCCTCGTTAGAAAACCATGTCTCTTCAATTAAAGGCATTTTTTTATAAATAATATTAACCGACAAAAAAAGGAATCAGAAGTTAACTTTGAGATAATGGAATGACAAAATTAGCATTTGAGAAATTTTCAGTCCACTTGAGAAACTTTTGTTAATTTTTAGGATTTATTTACCAACACCTAATTCACGACCCTTGAATTTTCATTCATTCCCCGATTTGTCACTGTTCCAACTTTACAAATTGTATTAAAAAAAATTATGTGGTTTGAAGCAATTAGTTTGTTTAAAAAACAAATAATCTTATTATTTTAATAAAATAAAGTTGTATAAAAGACCAAAACTTCCGGTAACCAGGTTCTCTGTCGGATCTTTAGTGTTGACGTGTCACTAAACTGTGTGGAACTGTGGATTCAAAGGAAAATCCCTTCGGTTAGAAACTTAGAATACTATCGTTTGTCCACGTGGATGAGCAGACGACCGTAGGAAACTTCAGTACCCGTCAATTCAAATGATCAAATCATTCATGTGATGGAGACAGGTGACCCGATACCCAGTAGTAGTAGAAGCCTTTTCAGTAGGGCCCCCCATCAAATGAAACCAACGAATCAGGTTTCCGTTTTGCGAACAGAGGAAAGTCGCACTGGATCTGTGTCAAAAAAAACCCCGTCATGTCCGTTACAGAATAACTGATTTTCAAAAAAAAATCCTTTTTAAGGAGCACTGGACCCGCGAAAAGCACTCTGACCATTAATCGGACCCGAAATAACAGCGGAGGCCTTCCGCCCAGACAACTAAGACCAAGAAGAACAAACAGCTCCATTGTCCATGGCAATTAGGGTTAGGGTTTCGTTTCTACCCTCGTGTTCTCTCCTGAAAATGGTCGTTCCCCTCTGAAACCCTAATTCAACTGAAAAGGCAGGTATCTAAAGCTTACCGACACTCAGATCTTCTCTTGGGATGGAAATGGAGGGGCAGATGACGGAGGGAGGAGGGGAAGGAGAGACTATGGATAACGGGAACATCTCCAATGCCACATCAAACAACAAAGAGACTAGCGATGCGATCCATGAGTTGATAGATCTAATTGAGTCCCTCGGCTTGTTCCCGGATTACCGCAAAACACAGAAAAGGGAATGCCTTAACCTCGTCAGGCGGATGAAGCTGTTAATACCTCTGTTAGAAGAGATAGCCGACATTGCTTCTCCACTTCCGGACGAGGCTTCTACGTGTTTGTGCAACATAAAGAAATCGCTTCTTTCGGCAAAGAAATTGTTAAAGACTTGTCATGATGGGAGCAAAATTTATCTGGTTACAGTTTCTTTCTATTTTTAATTTGTCATCTCAGGATGGTTTAAGTTTTTGGACACTTATTCTTGATTCCTTTTTGTGCCTCAACTTTTCTGGTTTAGGCATTCGAGAGCGAGGCGATCGTGGGTAGATTTCATTCCATTTATGACAAATTATATCAGTCTTTGGATAGCATGCCTTATAAAGAGCTGGGAATCTCAGATGAAGTGAAAGAGCAAGTAATTTCTCTTCCTTTCTTGCACGATTTTAGGCTCTTGTTTTTGCATTGTTTTATGTAGAGATTCACTTTGAAACACGCTTCAGTTTTGTGTTTATAATATATCAAATCAAAACCTTTCCTTTGATTTGGTTTTTATAGTATTATCACCGGATTGCATGATAACACAGCAACAAGGTCCAGATAGTGGATTAGGTTTTTATTTGATGTTCTTTATTTTGAACCTTCTGGGGAATAGCTAATTAGATTCGTCACTGGCCCCTGTGGCTGAATGGAAAGTGCTACCAGATGATATTAGAGCCTTGCATTTCTTTCTTTCTTTCTTTCTTTCTTTTTTTCCTGTTGAAACTTCCAGTATAACAAAAAATGGGAAGAAAGGCAAACAGAAAAACTAAGACCATTGAATGCTATCCTCATTATGACTGTTGCTCTAGCATTTTTTTAGCCTCCCTTGTCTTCCATAAAACTAAGACCCTTTTCAGATTATTGTTTCTATTAGCTTATTTATTTTTGTTTATTTTCATTTGTCTATCTCAGCTACACTCACTTTCTTCATTAATCATAACTTCCTCTTAAACTTTTAGCATTACTATTAACCAGTTCATCTTGGCTGTTATTCTTCCTTAACAGCAACACCAGCATAAAGCCTCTGGCTCTAAAAATCTTGTAATGCAATGAAGAAAAACACCTATAATAAAGCAAGCAATCAAAAAGAAGAAAATTTTACTGTCCAAAGTACACTGAGTTTACATTTAGATTTACAAGGTTATTTGGCTATTCTCTGATCATGTAAAATTTTATTTGTTTTACCTATTATTTTTGGAGGTTAAAATTTGCAAATAGTAATTAAAAAAAAAAATTGAATTCTGAACATTTTATGCATTTAGAGATATATGGCATTCATGAAGTAGTTTTTTCAGTGCTCTGCAATCCTAAAAAATTCCCAGTTGTTTGTTGACAAATGTAATTTTGTTTCTTTGAATAGAACAAAGACAGGCATTCATAATGGTGCAACAAGAAGGCAAACTACAACTCTTTCAAGGCTGTGAATAGTACCTTGTTATTTTTGGAAAATTTTAGAAAAGAGCTAGTTATGAGAAATAATATACATATAAATGGTCTGACAAACCTGAGAGAATAAAAAATTATCTACATCTGAAATAGTGAAGACCGGTGCCATCTGACCCAACAAGAAGGCTAATATGAAATAGGAGTTCCGGCCTAGAGTAGAAATTCAAGTCTTCATCCCTGTCACAAGCCAAATTGGCCAAGGAATCGCCATCTGATTGCTTTCTCTGTAATTGTGAATGAACCGGAAGGAGAGAATCTCCAATTGATGCCAAATTTCCTCCACCAAATACCAAATGCTCCAAGGGTGTTTTAGCAGACCCCTGGTAAATATCAATTATAATTTTGGTCTGAGCACACTGCCATTGTAAGAAAACCAGCTGCTTTTAGCATAAGCAAGCCCATACAAAATGGCCCTACATTCGGCTACAATATTAGTAGTGAACTCCATAGCTATGAGCAAAAGCCAATAGAACATTGTTATGGCTCTCTCATACAATGCATCCCCCACCACTAACTCCAGGGTTACCTCTACTAGCTCTATCAAGTATCAACATTAATCATAACTTCCATTGAGGAAGGAGTCCAAAACTTGAGCCTGTTGGATGTATGACTTGGGTTTGAATACCAAGAGAACACACTTGAGCCTGTTGGATGTGTGAAAGATATTGATTGAGAGATTTCCTTAATCCAAAGAGAAATCTTGCTAATAATTTCTGCCAAACATTTACCTTTCCCTTCCACATATCTTCTGCTATGTTCCTTCCAAATCTCCCAAAGTCTAAAACCAGGGAGGCTGCCAATAATCCACCCCCACTGAGACTTCTTATTACCAGCCACTAGCTGTCAATGTCTTACTCTACTACCAACAGAATCCTCAATGCTGATACCAATCCCAATCAGGTTAGCAAAATGACTCCAAATCTTTTGAGCTAAGCTGCTGTCAATAAAGAGGTGGTGCAATGTTTCCTCCTTTGGATGACTACAGCATGCACATTGAGAACATAGAGGAATTCCAATATTTTTAATGTTTTGATCAACAGGATCCTTCCTTTAATTATTCTCCAACTCCCAAAGGAAACTTTCGGTGGGATCTCCTTCACCCAATCCAATCCATTCCTTTAATCCAGTTTCTTACTGGTTTGAATAGCTTCCTTCACCTGTAACACATTTTTCCGTAGAAGATCTGGACGCCAAGATGCATCATTAGACAGGAAGTCAATCAACAGCTCATCCCCAAGCATTTTGTCCAACCAAAAGGATACTTTGCCTTTCCTCAATAATCACCTTGAATTCCCAACAATCTCCTCAATGTAGGAGAAATTTTCTCTCCAAGTTTTAGATCCTTTTGAATTGATACTCACCCAAAGAATAATGCTTACCCTTCAAGAACTTGGTTTGGAATCCCCATTCAAACCAGCCACATAAAAATTACAGAACAGCTGCTCTAATCTTTTCGGTGAAATTTAGAATGAAGAAATCAAATGGTTATAAGTTGCATGAAAGGTATATAACTTGTAATTTTATAGTACTTCTGCACCAAGACTCTCTATTGTAGAACTTATTTTTCTATTCATTAACTTTGATTCAGGTTGAGCTAATGCGGGTACAACTTAAAAGAGCAAAGAGACGAACAGATACTCAAGATATAGAGCTTGCAATGGATATGATGGTTGTATTCTCTAAAAATGAAGACCAGAATGAAAACCGCAATGCAGACAGCGCCATACTAGAAAGATTGGCAATCAAGCTCGAGTTGCACACTATCTCAGATTTAAAAGCAGAAACTGCAGCTGTAAGAAAACTTGTTAAAGAAAGATCTGGGCAAAATGCAGAAAGTATTCAACATGTTATTGATCTATTGAGCAAATTTAAGCAAATTGCTGGGGTTGAAGAAAACATTCTTGATGAACCTGTTTTGCCAAGATCTTTTCAGAAGTGCCCTTCCTTGGCAATTCCTCATGAATTCCTTTGTCCCATCTCACTGGAGATCATGACAGACCCCGTTATTATAGCAACTGGACAGGTAGACTGCATGTACCCATTGGAGCCCTTTAATTACCTTCAGATAACAAGTTAACAACTGAAAATAGAAATAGTTAATTATTATTGAATTAAAAACAAAATTATAAATTTAGGGAGCTATAAGCAAGATAAATTGTATTGTTTCTATAAAGCACAATAAAGGAAAAATATTTACAAGCAACTATCAAATCAACAACACACTTTCTCCTTTTGTATATTAAGAAGGAAAATTAGCATTTTGTATTTATTGTAATTTAAATATGTTATGCCTAATATACCTATCTCTAGGTAATGCTCCTGAAAAATAGGTTATTTTACAAACAATTCTCATGGTATGTCTGACAATTTCCTTCTTCCTTTCTCAGACTTATGAAAGAGAAAGCATACAGAAGTGGCTGGATTCCAACCACCGGACCTGCCCAAAGACGGGGCAGATTTTATCTCATTTGTCTCTTGCACCAAACTATGCCCTCCGCAACCTTATTTTGCAGTGGTGTGAGAAGAACAATTTTGAATTGCCTAAAAAGGATGCTCCTGCAAGCTCTCAAAGCTCCTATGCTGAACAGAAGGAAGAAATCTCTTCCTTGGTTAAAAACCTGTCCTCAAGCCAACTGGATGTGCAGAGAAGGGCTGTTGCAAAAATCCGTTTGCTTTCCAAGGAGAATCCTGACAACAGAATCATGATAGCAAGTTGTGGAGGAATTCCTCCTCTAGTTCAGCTTTTATCCTATCCAGATTCCAAGATCCAAGAGCATACTGTCACAGCTCTGCTTAATCTATCAATTGATGAAGCAAACAAGAGAATCATTTCCAGAGAAGGAGCCATTCCAGCTATAGTTGAAGTACTGCAGAAGGGGACCGTTGAGGCTAAAGAGAATTCTGCAGCAGCTTTATTCAGTCTATCAATACTTGATGAGAACAAAGTGGCAATTGGATCTGCAGACGGCATTCCACCCTTGGTAGATCTCTTGCAAAATGGGACCATAAGGGGTAAAAAAGATGCTGCAACCGCACTTTTTAATTTGTCACTCAACCAAACAAATAAGGTGAAAGCCATTAAAGCGGGTATTGTAAAACCATTGCTTCAGTTAGTAGAAGATAAAAACTTGGGTATGGTTGATGAGGCCCTCTCAATCTTGTTTCTACTTGCATCTCACCCTGAAGGGAGAAGTGTGATTGGACAACTCTCTTTCATTGAAACTTTAGTTGGAATCATCAAAGATGGGACCCCCAAGAACAAGGAGTGTGCCCTTTCAGTTCTTCTTGAGTTGGGATTGAACAACTCATCATTCATTTTAGCTGCACTTCAGTATGGAGTGTATGAACATTTAGTAGAACTTGTGAAGTCTGGAACCAATAGGGCCCAAAGGAAAGCAAATTCCCTTTTGCAGCACATGAGTAGGTGTGAACAGATATGAAGTACCAAAGGATTAGATTTTCAGGTTGTTGTAGCTTGCATCTCAGGTTGAACTGCTGGTGTGGAGTCTCTACTTGTACTACATGTTGTTGGAGGTATACATCAATATCTGTTACATGTTCTTCTTCCATAGATGTATTCTATACCTACTAGGACCCAGCATTTTTCCATGTTAATATTTGTGAATCCCCACCAGGTTTATAGTATATATTTACTGGGAAAAAATGTCATACATGTGCTTACTAAAATATGTATTAAGGTATGGTGTAAAACAAGAATTCTATCAAAAGAGAGCCATATACAATGACAACTATTAATAACTGATCTATGTTGTTAAGTCATTGTGGTGTATTCATTCTTTGGAGCTGTGGTTGTGGTTAATATCTCTATGCTTTTTTATCCCTGATATTTTTCATTTTTTCAGGCCAACACAAGATCAAGAAACCACGTCCTCATATTGAGACTGATATTTTCAAACAATTCCTTATGAGAATTCCTAATATTTATTGATACTTTCAACTAGCCTTTTTTTTTTTTTTTTGCATCAAACCCACTCTAGATTCTTTTTCTACTTTGATTTGCGGTGTATGGATTATGGAACAAAAACAACTTCATTTCAGTAAATTAAAATATTTTTTGTGATAAAAAAGGTAGATGCCTTTATATTTGAGCCGCTAAAAATCCCTTTAAATTTATGCAACATGCATATAAATTGGATAAACAAAAGCAATACTAAGTTGCACAAATTATCTATCTTAGAATAGGCCATGGATAAATATGGGGAGTGATTTGCGTATATCCAATTTTTGAAGGAGAAGAAGAAGAATACTCCGTACAGTACCAGGTACCCAATAAGTTATTGGGTGTTCTTTTAATGGTTTCAGTACATGCAGGATTATTGACAGTACATTTTTTTGGAGAATGTTAATAAATTCCAAAACCCATTTGGTCGTCCATAGCTACAACCGTCTTTTTGATTGGTATCACGGTAGCCCTTTGGTTGGGTATTGGAGCAACATTACCTATTGATAAATCTCTAACTTTAGGTTTTTTTAAATTGATTCAACCATTAAATGAAATAAAATATCACCACGTATGTATCTAGGAGGATTTGCTTTTGAAGCGACTATTCCCTAGATGCATCTATTGTATTTCTATCTTTCTGGATCTAATCCGAATATATGGACTGTAGATTTTATAAAAAAAAATGAAATAACTCCAATGGATTTAAAACTTATTCTTAGGTAAATCAATTGTGAAATGCTTTTGTAGAATGTCCAATATCTGTTTACATCTATCTGAAAATGTTCAATTTTCATAAGATTTTCTGGACTGTTATTCAAAAGGTCCAATCATGTATGTATATTGGACCTTTTGAGGCAATTATAGGTCCTGGGAGGCAATTCTGATTGGTCAATAAGAAAACATTTCAATGCTATTTCTTTTTTATTTTTCCTTAGTTTAGTTAATTTATCATGAAAGGTAAAAAAATATAAAGTAACCTTGTTTTGATTGTCCTCTAATTGGATGTCCTCTTCTTGTAAATCTAGGAAAGGTATAAATAAATCAATCAAATTCCGGGAGGTTTCCTGAAGTGTTTCTTTAAGAATTAAACTCCCATTCGTCCATATTTCGAGAAAAAGTAYCTCTTGTTTCTCATTCCCATTCCCATAATAATGAATCAATATGTCCATTTCTACGTGAACCAATTCTTRGTATAGGTTTTGCCATATTTTATCATCTCATAAATATGAGTTAGAGATATCCATTTCATGTCAAAACAGATTCTTTATTTGTACATTGGATTCTTTAGAGAATCCCTTTTTAGAAAGATTATCATTGTCTTTGTTTATGTCTTGGATTGGACAATAGGCTTTTTATTGTGAAAGAGTAAAAAACTAAAAATAGGTATTAAACTAGGGGTATCTCTATAAAATGCTAATACACATGCACATAATTTTGTTTTCTTTTTTTTATAGAACCAAAATGGGGCTGCACAGAGTGGGGGGTAGCACATCCCCAGAAATCAAAACAAGCGATTATATTAAGAGGCATAGGAATGGAGCTGAAGGAAGCTTCGTTGGTGTGAGCATAGTTAGCTAACCAATCTGCAGTAATATTTCCTTCTCTGTTGATGTGTTCATACTCAATCTTTCCCTCTAATCTCTCTCTTAAAGTGTTGCATTCTTCGATAATTGGACGCACTCTCCACAGGGGGCTAGAACTCCTTTTCAGACTATCAATAACTACGTATGAATCTCCTTTGATGATGATGTACCTGTTAAGAAAGTTAAGACTAAGATTATGGGCCTCAAACGCAGCCCATGCTTCAGCTACATTAACTGTAGTTTTACCTAGTTTGTAGGCTTATGACCCAGGTGGTCCCTGGCAACACAAGCAATTGAGCAATCCCCATTGATACACGAGGCATCAAAATTAATTTTAATAGCTTCGAAATCTGGGTTCTTCCATCTAACAGGGATAACATCTTTCTCAAACAACTTTTATCTCCCTCATTCACCCCTTGGATCTCCAAGAACATATTATAAGCCCTTTCAATGATAATATAGGGACGCTAACTCCTATTTTTGAAAATACATTCATTATGATTCTTCCAAATTTGACAGAGGAGGAGAACAAATTTCTCCTTACTATAGGAGCCACCCAGATCCGTTCTGTTATTACTCGAGATGAAATTCCACCAATCGCAAATATTATTGTTGAAGTCATTGGGAATCCGAAAGGAATCTTTAGCAATATTCCATACTTTCTTAGCAATAGGGCAGCAGTTTATAAAAATGTGATCCGTGTCTTCTTCCTCTCCACACACCACACAAAATCCATCAATATTCATCCTTCTCAAAATTAACATTTTCTTTGTTGTCAGCTTTAGGTTGAGAAGCAAGAATAAGAAATATTTGTACTTTGGAGGGGTTTTCAAAACCCACACTTTTTTTGAATCATTCCAATTTCTGGGGTTATTGCCATTCATAATGCAATCTTCATTTTGTAGACTGATTTAATGGAAAAACTGCCATCCGGGTTGGGTCTCCAAATTTGTTTGTCTCTAGTATCACTAGTCAAGATAAAAATTGCCTTAACTTTATACCAAGATGAAATAGGGACCAAACTGCTGATTTTTGCTTTATCCCATGTGAGTCTCTCATTGTCGATTACCTCGCTCATTTTGAGATTAATATCAATGATGGTATCTTTATTTACCTCATTAATAAGGGGAACCCATCAACCCAGCTATCCAGTCAGAATCTGGTTGTGTTACCATTGCCAATGATAACACCAATACCACGTTTAATAAGGTCTCTAGATGAAAGAATGCCTTTCCATGCCCAAGAATAACCCTTCTTATTGTCTAGGTCCCAAAAATCCTTCTTCTTTAGATATTTCTGTCTTACAACCTGGACCCAGAGATTGTCCTCTTCATTCAAAATTCTCCAGCCAAGTTTGGCCAAGTTAGCCTAGTTAGTCCAACAAAGATTCCTTAGTCTCATACCTCCCAATCCCGACCCAAGTATAATTCAGACACATAATGCAGACCCGAACCTTATATAATTGGGCTGGTTCAGTTCAGATCGAGTGGGTCTACCCAACCTGTTGACAGTCCTATAGGTCCTATCCAAAGTATTATTTAGGAAGAAACAAGCAAGGTTTGAACTATGACTATGTTCAGTCATGTTGTTTTGGGAGAGGGGAGAGCAAAAGAGGGGAAAAGAAGCAAAGTGGAAACAAATATGTAGAGTGTAAAACTGTAGATACAAGGTTTAGAAATACCATATACAACGTTTTGCACTGAACATATTTATATTTGCACTCTTCCCAAACTGTACAAATACATATGCTGTCATTTTTCATGAACCGAGCACATTTGTATTTGCATTCTTTCGAAATAGAGCCTTGGATTGTTTGCAATGCAAATCTGAACTAGATACCAATTTTGCTCCTAGTTCAATTTTGCATCTGTTTGTTTGTAACTATGATTTGCACTCTTACTTGATAGAAAATTGGTACTTTTTATCTTGTTTGCACTCATTGGCAGTATAAATTTTGTTTCCCAAAAAACTGATGCAAATTTTACATTACCCTCCTACCTGAATTCTCATATAAAGTGGGGACTATATCATCTTGCTCCCTACCTCACTCCAAACAAATAACCCTCCTCCTACCTCCATTCTCTTTCATATAAGGTGGGGACCACATCATTGTAATTTCTGTTTTACTTATCACAAACTAACAAGGTAAAAGGCAAGTTTGAACAAAACTCCCATTCAATGCCCCAATGACCTGGTCAGTTGAACCATTAAATTGTTTGAACCAATCAACTAGTCATGAGTTAAAAATTTATTCTTATTTCATTTTTTTTTGTATTTTAGCTATTTCTATCATTAATAACAATAATTTTCATTTAATATGATGAATAAACAATATTAGAGACATGCACAACTCTTAAGCAGTTTTTCTGTAACTATCCATATTTTATGTATATTTATTTATTATTTTATTATTCAATTTATGATATCGGAAGTTGACTTATTTGACCAGGATGATTTAACCACTGACCCATCACCCAAATGGAAAAGCAATTCCATTTTGGGTCAATTTAATGAGCCTAGTTCACCTGGTATATATATAACATGAAAACAGGTTCAAAATAATAAAATAAATTAAAATTTTGAGATGTTAAATCATGGCCAAAAGGGGTATAAGTCATACAGTATTATTTTCTTTTTCTTGGATATTGATTCAAATGATGCTATTACAAAGTCGCAACTACCCAGCATTAGACTCTTAACTCGGAAAGATATGTTGCATAAAAAAACTGACCCAATCAAACAACAGTCCCACCCTTCGTAAACTTTCCCTTTCGACTCTTCCCAGGAATATTAACTCTTTTAATCCTATTTGGCCAGAAGAATACGACAATGATCTAACCATATGAATTTCGCAATTTGCAGACAATAGATTCATTCTATTCCAACATACGTTTGGTTTGCTCATTCATCAATATATAAGAAGAAACGCCTCTAGGCTGGACTCGGCTATTGCCAATCATGAAGATAAGCTATATTGATTATTAAATTGTTGGCATGCAAAGAAGGCAAGCATTACTATTGACAACAATACAAATCATATAAACCAATAAATGCCTAACTAAAAACCCAAAATATCCTCGTTTCTACTCCCTCCCCAGACCACATTGGCGGGAGCCATTATTTATTTTGGTTGCATGCCCATTGAAATGGTTGCATTCTTGCCCAACCCATCAGAATTGGCACAATGACGTACACAGATTTCGCGGATCTGACACATTATAAACCTACACCCATGTAATGTGATGTCAGAGTGAAGAGTCAGTTATCATAGTTGCGCAATACCCAGTCACTTTTGAACATGAGCATTGCATAAAATTTACAACAGATGACAATTGAGGTGAACAATACATAATTAGAAGTCACATGAACAAACGAGACAGTGATTGATGGCGTGCCTCCTTTACCACCTCCTGTTGTCCCAAATTAGACTGAGAATGATGTTTTACCTCTACTGCCTTGCAATTGTTATTCAAAAAAACTAGACAATGGTTGACGGTATTTCTCCTTGCTTACCACTGCCTGGTTCTTTTCCTGTTCCTTCTGGAGTGCCTCCTGTTGTTCAAGACCAGATGAGGGAAAACATTTTGCCATGTTTTCCTTGGTAGCTTCACAATGATCTTCTTCCTTCTTTTCAGAATCCTTACAGTGCTTTTCTTTCTCCTTAGCCACCTCGTGATGTCTTTTCTTCTCCTTGGAAGCCTTCTGATGGCTTTTCTCCTTTTGCTGTATTTCCTTGCCCTCCTTGGCTACCTCCTTATGATAATTGACTTTTTCCTTATCCACCCCACCATGCCTTCTTCCCTTCTTAGAGGCTGCCTCATGGCAATATTTTTCCTTGGCAGCCTTCTGACAGCTTTTCTCCTTCTTTTTATGTATTTCCTTACCCTCCTTGGCTACCTCCTTATGATAATTGTCTTTTTCCTTACCCACCCCACCATGCCCTCTTCCCTTCTTAGAGGCTGCCTCATGGTAATCTTTATCCTTGGCCTCTTCCTGCCAATGCTTTTCCTTCTTCATCAACTCCTGGGGGTGTTTTTCCTTCACCAACTCCTCATCAACTGCCCTCAGCTCTTGGACAACCCCACTGCTCATTGTGTCCATGATGACTTTGCCAAGCACAAATCTCACCTCATTACGATCTCCCTTCCCAAGCAACTTGTAATTGATCTCTAGACTCTCCCTTTCCCTTGTATAAGATTCAATATCTTCCTTCAGTACACTGAAAAGTTCAGCAACATGTCTGCCTACTGACTTGGATATAAAAACCTGAAATAGCACACATCACTTATTGTATCAAATACAATTCTAGATAAATAATAGCAATTCTTGATATAAAAACCTGAAATAGCGTACATCACTAATTGCATCAAATACAACTCTAGATAAATAATAGCAATACTTGAAGTGATACCAACAATTCAAACAAGGATGTCCGTGCAAGTGAATGTCTTTACATGTGTGAGCAAGGATAATCCAAGTTAGGCTTGGAGTTAGCACCTCCTTGCCTGCATAGTTCAAAGGGTGTACACATGCATAGTGGTTTTTAGCTGCCAGTTCACAAATATATCTGGTATATAAGTGAAAATCAAACTGATTGGGTAGTCCCAATATCTGCTTTCTTATACTTTTTTTATATGAGCATCACAAGTAATGCTGAACAGCCAGAAAATAATTAAGTAAAATTATTAACATATAAAAAATAAAATTCTCATGATGCGTATAAGTGGAAAGATGAGAAGATAACAAAGGGGCCAACAACCTTGAATGCAACACGCGCCTACATGTGAGGCAAGAACGGGCATGCACACACACACACACACACAGAGAGTAAATCTTCCTTCCAATGATCCAATCCAAGCTCAATTGGAGTTGATGCAACCAAACGTATGAAAGCTAAGCAAGTAAGACTCCAGCTAGGCTTGGATTGAGCACTCCAGCTTGATTCTTGGGTTCAAATTGATGAGATTGGGTTTTGGTTGCCCTCTAATTGAACCCAACCAATTTTATTTGCACCCTACTTATAAACCATATCAAAGTTGGGAAGATCCTAAGCTCAACCAGGATAAAGGCCATAAAGTTTAGTGTCTACAAAGTTTAGATAAAAAAATATAGTTAAAAGTGGCCAAGTGGGTACGGACTTACCAAACCAGGACATGGGGAAAGTGGGTATCTATCCATTGATTTAAGAAGACTTTCAGTCCCAGTCAAAGCATCAATAGAAGATATTATCAATGATGCTAAATAACTGACTTCTTCTGCAAGCATGTCATCTGACTTAGTTGCACCAGCATCTGAAATCTCAGGTACAAAATGAATGTGCATTTGAGCATTTTCTCTTGCAAATTTCACAGCTTCTCTCCAATCTCCATGATATAGAAGCAACGAAAATGTCCAGACTACAAGAGCATCTTGTCGATTATTTACTAGTGCAAGGTGAAATGCCAGTAACCCAACCCTGTTCAGAGTCACACAAACCAAAAAGATTATCATCCACCAAAACCTAGAATTGTCCAGACAAATCATCTATATCTCTGGATTTATACATATCTCCCCGGCTAGTTTCATGTTCAAAATGACTGGCATTGCTAGAAATATTCTAAGTTACAACAAAAAGGGCTGCATGTCCCTTGAAACCAAGCAAGATTATGACTTCTTCTAACTTGGAGTTTCCCATGCAAACAATTAGGAAAGCAAATCTTTAAAGAGAGTTTATATGAGGGGTGCAAGTCAGGTGCCTGAGTTGATGAATTTACACTGCATTCAGGTCAGGCCCATCCAAAATTTAACAAATTCCCAACCCAAGCCCGCTGAAGTTGCACCCCTAGTTATATAGATTTTTTTTTTGATAAACATTTACTCTTCAATCAGTAAAAACTATCTTACCACAGGATGCAGTCAGATGGCCGGTCACAGGCAAGTAATTTATCCATGTTAAGAAATAGTCTCTGAAAAAAAAAGGCAATCAACAATAAGGGCAAAAAAGGGATGAAAAATGAAACAATACTACAGCTGGATGATGTAACACTACATAACAGCTCAGATAAACAAATTCCTGGAATATTCACACAAGTTTCCATCAATCAAGAGTCAGGACACCTAATATGAGGGACATGCCAAGCCCTTGCAATGTAACTTATCTCTTTTGCATGTCTTGATTCTTGAAAAATCATGTTAGCTACTTATTAAGAAATATTTTTTACATGCATGAATGTAGTTTAGTTTGTCCACTAAGCTTACCATCAACATAGTGGAATCCTGAGCACCTTGATTATTGCCCTGTTTAGCTAGGTATGCTGCCTGTATTCAACATGATTTTTCAACCAAATAAACTTATTATGATAAAAAATGTAAAAGGTATGGCATTAGTTCAACAACCACGCACCTGAAAGGGAAGCAAGATATCAAGAAGTTTGAATCTCTTCAGTAAATGGAGGGAGGACTTAGCAGCTCCATAAGACAGCATAAAGTTCATTTCCATCATCAACCTTGACTAAAAAAATAATGGAAATATTTCATTACAAGCCTAAAGAAGTTTATATACAGAGCATAAAGGATATCCAAATGGTCCAAAAGAAGAGACTCCAAGCATACCTTATCCAAACTCATCACAGATGAGGAAAGATTTTTTATTGCTTCAGCAGTCTCCTCAGAAAATGAAAAGTGAAGGCGAGCTGCAATTCTTAAGCCCCGCAAAATTCTTGCTACATGCCAGAATTGACATATTGATGTTCAAGTTAAACCTTGTTAAAAACTATATGCAACGATCTCCAAATGTCAAAGATGAATGACAGACCTATAACAGAAAATAGAAAAACCTACCACAATCCTCTTGGAATGACAGCTGGGCTGGGGTTATGGTTCGCACCTATGTATATATCAAGTTAACAATAGAAATCAACCATAAAAGCTTAAATATCCTTCAGATAACAAGAAAACTTAAAATTTTCTTCTAACAAAATAAAATAAAATAAAACACCTTGCAGGTCCTCAAATCTTGCATCCCATTGGCATAGTCGTAGATTGTATTCACAAATGGGTCAAAGAATAAACTGCTTCCACAAACACATGAATAGAAATATTCAGTAATCGGTATCAAAGAAAAGATAATAAAAATCATATTCAAAGGATGAATATTAACTTCATTGCAGGGAAATGGAAAGTTAGCATGTAACATGTAATAATAACAACATTTCTATAAGGTTTCAAGTTTCTATTTCAGTGCAAACTTCAATTTAGATAGAGACAAATAGTTTATGGAGGTTTATGGAAGCTCAGACCCACAGAAACATTGTATAATTATAAAAAAAGCATGAACTATGGGAACACTATGACTATGTAGGAAAGCCATGAAAAGCTTTAGAAAATGACATAAAAAGCTTCACTAGATCCTGTCGGTGTTTCACAAAAAACTTTTGTTGTTTTTACTTAAAGAATTGATATGTCAAAGTGGAATTGATTTGATTTTCTTAGATGCTTAGAACCATGGGTTGATAGTTGATATAACCAAAATGCACAACAGAAGAAACCATACTACGTGAATAAGCAGGTATACCTGTTAATAGTAAAGTCCCTGTGCATGCAATTCCTCCAACGAATGAAGTCTTTTTCATCACAACTAGTTGACATTTGAGAGAAAAGAACTGTTTCATTTTCTTTAACATGCTCACCCACTGTCTCAAAACTAGATATCTTATACAGGTATACAAGTAAATCAATATATCAGTGCCATATATCAAAAACAAAAGTATTAAAAAAAACCATAGTAAACAAACTAGGTGGAAACAGAAACAAACCTCAATAACAGAACCTTGGACATGGACCAGACATATAGGAAATCGTCGTCCCACAATTCTGGCACGATGAAATTGTTTCCGTATCTACAAAGAAAAATGCACCCCCTGTATCAAATTTTGAAGTTACACCAAATATAGGGAGAAGATGAACAAATTTAACAATATATAAACCTGTTTAAGAGTAGCTGTGGTGATCACATCAAAATCCTTGGGTATTCTCCTTAGGAGTAAATCCCTCACACACCCACCCACTAGATAGGCTTCAAATCCTGAATGTTAACCACTAATTAGGGCAGACCTTCCAAGTAGGATTATAAATAATGGCAGCACGCAATTAGGAAGAGAATAATGATACTAAAAACTCCATTTCAGTGAAGAATATGCATTTTCCACATTAAAAATCCCGCATACTTCATCACATCATATGGAAAAATATTTTACAATTGAATATAATGTCCAGAAAGAAGGAAAATATAGGACATAGTCATCTAACAAACAGCAATGAGGATTTGTCAATGAAAAAAAGGATCAAATAAACTAAAATATGAATTTTGATTGACAATTTGAATTAAGCGTTTCCTTGAACATTGTCCTTGTTTAAAGTGACCCCTCGACACCTATAAGCTTTGAAATTTCCTTCTTCATCAAGGAGGCACAAAACTTAACAGGTAGCTTCTGGCTGTGAATTCAAGTCTTAATTAAACACAATGTAATAGAGTACGAGACCAGCATAATATATGACCACTGTGAAGAAGATGATTCAGACCCCACGGTTTCACACTGAGAGAGTGTTTGTCGAGGGTACTTCAATTAAGCAGCATTCTTTAGACATGATAAACAATGAGAATGACTTGTAACCATAGAGAGGATCAGACAATGAAACAGGAAATAACCTTTGCTTTGAAGAATTTTCAGAACTGTCCACGTCGATGTTGAAATCATGGACCTTTTTATCCCTAAAATCCTGGAATCCACTGCTTTCGATGTTGAAATGTCAAATATACCTACATTATAAGTTTATAACAATTACGAAACGTGAAAAGGAGGGCAGAGCCTGAAGGGATACAGAACTCTCTTCTTGTTCAACAATTTATGGGGATCTCCAATGTAATAATAAACAAAAGAATTTGAGATGTGACTACGACGATTACTGTTCTCAGCTCTTGCATCAGAAGCAACTCCCCCGTAAAGCCGAGCCTTTGCCCCTTCTCCGGCCAATATGTGATTCGATTTCTAATGGACAACAGAATCAAACGGAGATAAATTGATAAAGCGTTCGAAGAAATGCTCCAACTAGACATGGCATCAGGGGGAACAAATATATACCTGTACGTTGGAGAGCAAGATTCGCATGCAGTAGAGGAATTTACTGCTCCTTGACGGAATCGCCATGGACCCAATAACACGGGACTCATGGCCTGAACGTTGCAAAGGGCGCCATTTTTAGAGAAGTTTTGTATTTATTTTCGTCGGGGTCGGCTGGAAGTGGAAAGATGGGAGGGGCCGATTGTAATAGACCTCACCGTAGCCCAAAATGTTGAAATCGTGAAACGAGTAGGGTGCTTGCGTCTTGCGAGTTGCGACCAATGCGTTTCACGAGCGTTTCGTTTCACCGATTTAAGGTTGTCTTTGGTAATCATTCGTGCTTCGACATGCAATATTTTGAATTGAAACACGCCGTAATAGGGATTTCCATGCCAAGGGTTATATGATTGTTTTAACTCAAAACGTTTTGTGATGCTGATGTGGTGGTGTTTATATTTAAATTGCCAACATTACTGGGAGCTGTTTGGTAACATTGACATTTCAAGTATAAATAATAATACATTATAAAAGATGGGATGGGATGGGATGAGAAAGTGTAAAAATTTACACTTTTATTGTTTGGTTTTATATATGGGAAAATAATGGGAAAATCACTATTCATCATCTCCTACCTTTGGACAGTGCCATCAAAGACAGTAGTTCGGACTAACAGGTAGCAGCAGACCGTTCAGACTAAAGAGAAACCTAATGTTTCTATTCGGAAGAAGAAGAAAAGGGAGGAAGGGGAGTGACTGTTCATCATCTCCTACCTTCGGACTAACAAGTAGTAGCAGACCGAACCTCCATCTCTCTCCATTTCTAAATCTTACTCACATATTCCTCTCCTCCCTCCATCCTCTTCTCCATTCATTAGTCCTCTATTGAATGTCTCTGCTGGCGGTGAGGGAACATCTCTGTCACCGAACCAACTCTTGCTCTTGAGTTCGAACGGGGAAGGGGAGGTAGCAGATCGTCGATGGTAACAGGGAAGGCATTGGTTTGCTCCCTCTGTTCATCGTCGCTAGTTGCCTCCTTACCATGTGCTTTTTCAAGTTTTTCCATTAGGGTCGCACGATTTTGGTGCGACCCCAAATTCACGATTTTGGGATCTGACATCCCACATTTTTTTCATCCCATATTTTTCATTTCTTCAAAATAAATGAGAGAAAAAGAATATCTTTAAAATATTCCCCTTTTCTCATCCCCATCCCATAAACCAAACAGAACCTTAACAAACAATTTTCTATTTGATTGGTGATGTCCGAACCAAGCTAGAGTCGAGGCAGATATAGAGCAGATAATTTTACCAACTTAGACGAGCCAATGTGAAAGGACAAGGTGGTGCATGGAGCTGAATGAGGTCTCCAGGAAAGGCATTACAACGCTCAAGTTAGAAAAAAATGGCCAGGCTGACTTGTTGATGACAATCAGGTTCAGACAAAATAGAGGAGTATGAGAACTAGAAGGTTAGAAAGCGGGAGATACTGGAGAGAGATTAGCCCCACTATATCTCGTGTCTCTTCCATGAAGAGGCCGAGGTCATTGATCTTCGGAGGTTCCGTGCAAGGGACTTGTTAATTTTGGAAATGGTGGAATAATTTGTTCCATTATTACCAAGTGTGCATTAAATTTTTATTTAGAGACAAATTCATGGTGATCCTAACTCGAGTCTTAATAGTAAGAAAATTTGGAGACTCATATGATGGAAAATGCCAAGAAAGGGTGCTACTAATATCAAGTTACTTGATGATTTGCTAAATGATAATGGTTTGTGTTTATTGCTAAAAATCATTACAGGGTTGTTAAAGCCTATTTTATAGGCTTGACCACAATTAATGTTGTTGAAGTTTGAGCTGCGTGGAAAGCTCATAATGTTGCTCTGAATTTTAGGAATCATCCCATCAACTTTGAAAAGGGAGTTGTTCCTTGTGATCTCATGTCTAAATAAGCATATTGAAGTTTTGTGGAGATTGAAAATTGATGGAAACTGGCTGATCTTTTGGGAATGTGGAGTGTCCTATTTTCATGCTTTTAGGGAAGCAAATCAAGATGTGGATTGGATGGCGCATGAATATCTCCCTTCTTCTCGTTGTTTTCTCCCTCTCAATGTTTTTCTCTAGAGTGTATTTGTAAGAGTGATGTTTGGGGCCGAGCTACCCCCCTCCCCCATCTTGTGTAGTTCTTCCAAATTTCACCATAAAAAAAAAACAAAAACTTTTCTAATATTATCCATGTGTTTACAAATCATGCCCCAATATGTCTCTTAAATTCACTTTGTTGATATTATTTGCATTTTGAATACTTAGAACTTTTCACTTTGAATATCAATACTCTTAATTTTCAACTAAACTCTCTTTATTTAGGGAGTGTTCTATAACGTAGAACCACACCACACCCCAACAGAATAGTTGTTCTGCACCATGGACAAAAATGTGTGTACTAATCCATACCACACCTTAATGGGTGTTCTGCAAGGTATGGTACATTTCTGTCCACATATTGTGTTTGATTCCATGCATTTCAAGTACAACATGTGAGATTATCAATGTTGTTAATCATTAAAATACAATATTTTATTTTTTAGTAATATATATAATGGAAATATATTAATAAAATACAAAAAAATAATAATTAATAATACTAACAATAATATTAATAATATTTAATAACAAATAATGATATTAATATCAACTAAAATTAGTAATAATTATTAATATTAATAATTAATGATTAATAAAATAATATTAACAATAATTAACAATATTAATAATAATATTTATAATATTTGATAATGATTAATAATATTCAAAACTTATTAATTAATAAAAATATTATTAATAATATTACTAATATTGTTTTATGAAGTTATTGACAATTTGAGACTACTACTATTTATTTATGTAAAATAATAAATAATAAAATATATATTTATCCAATTAAATGTTATTACTTTTTCCATTGTTTTCAAAATCGGACTGGATTAGACGGTCAGACCGGAAAATTTGGAAACCGGACCGGTTCTGTTTTTCGCCAAAATTGGATTTTGGCCAAAAAAACGTTGATTTGGTCAACAAACTACTGACTCAGGCGGTTGAACCGTTTGAACCATTCAACGGTTTTAACCATTTTTTATTTTTTTGTCAAAACGGGTTGATCGTTCGATTTGAATGGTCAGATTGAAAAAACTGGGAACCGGTCCATTTTTCGTCAAAACCGGATTTTGGCCATAAAACGTTGATTTGGTCAGCAAACCGTTGGCCCGGGCAGTTGAATTGTCAAGGTTCTATCAGTGTATCGGGCGAATCCATACCTTTTTTTTTACTTTTTTTTTTTCAAAACCAGTTCAAGGGGCCGGTTTAGGGCTCCTCCACCCCCTGAACTAGTCAAACCCCCAATACACCCACTCTAGGGGCGTATTGGAGAGGTCCTAGAATGATATGTATCATCCGATATGGGCCGATACGTGTCAGCACTTTGAACCTTGCTCGAACTGTTCAACGGTTTTGACCATTTTTTTTTCTATCAGAACGGGTCGACCACTCGGTTTGAATAGTCGAACCAAAAAAACTAGGAATCAGTAAGGTGATCGGTTCTGTTTTTTGCCAAAACTGAATTTTGGCCAAAAAACGTTAATTTGATCAGCAAACCGTTGATCCAGGCAGTTGAACCGTTCAAACCATTCAATGTATTGATACAAGATAAGAGTGGTTCAATCCTAAATAAACATCTGTGATAAAAAAATCCAAATGAACATCTATTCAAATAGTTGATGAACAGATGTTCAATGAACTAGGGTAACTTTGATTGGTGTTGGGCACCTTCTTCCAGCGGCATGGCAGACTGATGGGAGAGTAAGAGCTACAATGGTTTCCTCAAAAAAAGAGCCACAACAATAATATTTATTAGGATGGAATAATGATGCGAAGTAGGGAATCAATGGCTTTAGAGTTTTTTACCGCCGCGTGGAGCATTCCATAATTCTTACCCGTGGAAGAGATTTTGCGATATAGTGTAGACTGTTCCACGAGATATTGTGATTCGATCCACACCATACTAAACCGAATGATGAAAATGACTGTAGTGTGCTTTGAAACACAATATATCGTGGATAACCACGACACCAAACACCACCTTAATTTTCAATCTTGACAATTATAAGGGATAAAGCCACATTGCAATTTAACATTTAAATCATACCAACCCAACCATTTATTAAGTAGTCTCAGTTGCAACTGTGACTATTTAACAATGCCTTGCCATTAGGTCCACTGAAATCTGCACAGTTTTCCCATGTGTTCAGACTGAGAGTCCTCGTTTGCAACCAAAAGATGTCAAATTCAAGCGTTACCGAGTCTGATAGTCTCTCAGAAACATTCAACCACCACTCACATGGTTCCTCCACTGTTGATTCCTTCATTGATGCGATTTCATCATCTGAGCTCACAAACATGAACATTGCTGATTCAAGTAACACAGGCGTGCAACATCATCCCATTGTCCAAGAATGTAACAAGTTAATCCCCATGGATATGGTATCTGCCTGAAATAGTGGTATCGTGTCTAAAGGTTCAACAGAGGTGGATCGGGCTTCTTTGGTAATTGATAATCTGGTTAAGGGAAATCAGCTTCCCCAAAAGGGGAGACTCTTGCAGGCTGTAATAGAAGCAGGACCACTGCTTCAAACACTTATCGTGGCAGGTCCTCTACCTCAATGGCGAAATCCTCCCCATCTTCAGCCCTTAAATATCCCACCTGTTTCCATTAAAGGGTGTGATCCTCGAACAATTAATCGGGCTCCGAATGCCAATCCAAATTACAATGTTCAAACTTCTTTCAGTTCTTCATCGGTGAATATAACAAATTCTGGCAACATTAGAAAGGAGAGGGTGAGAGGAATTACAAAGAAATCATGCACAAGAAAAATAAATTTTTTAAGAAATCCGGACTGCACATGTGAGAGTTATTTTGACTAGAAACACCAATTTAATGTTTCTAGAAAGAGTTTTTCACACATGCATTTTTAAGGTATGCCTATTTCAACCATTAATAGCCTCAAATAACAAATTTATACCAATTTATACTAATCAACCCAAAACATTTCACGTAGAAATAGCAATGACACCAAACACAACCCAAGAAACATTTATTTTTAAATTTCTCCATTGAATGAGAACACATATAATAGGGTGGTGTCACATAAAACATAAATAATTCATTTAAATGTTTTAGGTAACAATGCCAATGCCAAATACAATATTGTTCAAAACGCTTGTTTAATGCCTAACCAACATAAGTACCAACCAAATAAGTTATGTCAAAATAACTGTGTTGGTGTTTTAACATTAAATGCCATTGCCTCTCTAAATGTTGTAATTATATTCTCCCATATGGGGGAATGGCCATTCCA